TCCATTTACGTGGTCACTTTACAGACTCAGACCGGAAGCCTCCACCTTCCTGATACAGAGGCACGCATGCGTGTGTCTGCAGTTCAAAGCCAGTGACCATACACAGAAATCATCTACACAATAATGTCCTTCTAATTGTGAAATATAAACACAATCACATTGTAACAATTAAAAAAAATATCCTCAGAATGAGGAGGCACAATATGCAGTGCTGTAAGAGGTATGAAACAAGCAAGCTCTGTAGTCCTTTTAGAAATACATGAAATAATATAATTCATTTATTTGTCTTGGTGGGTCAGCAGGCTTCTAAGTGGACAAACAGATTTACTGATAACGTTATCAGTTTTTTCATAGTCTCAAAGTAAAAAGCTATGCTTATATTTGGGAAATTCACTTTAAAGCTCTCCGCCTTTCCAAATTAATGTTGCTGAAGATCATGTTGCTCAAAACGTGCTCTTTTATCATCAACGTGAAAATTGAAGGGTGTTCTCAAGGCCCATATCAATTGGCTACAATTGTATTAGAGGACGTGCTCCCATAGAAGCCCTTCCATTGAGTTCCCCAGGACTGAATTGACAAGACTAAATATTCATTACAGTTCACCTCTCAGGGCCCCATCCGTTGCCACTTTAATCAATAATAGCACCAGCTGTGAGTTAGCTGAGTGCAGCATTTCAGAGTACTCTGAGCTACTTACAACTCTAAATTCAGTTCTCTCTTCAAAAGCTTTTTACAAAACACACATATATATTTTTTTCACAGCGTATTTTTTTAGATAATATAACAGGGCCTGCTTCACGAAGCTTACACAGATAGATGTGTGCAATTTCTGATCACAGAACTAATATTTAACTATTATGAAGTTGGTTGGAAGTAGTAATCATCATACTGTGTTCTACCTCCATCTGCTTGTTCTCCAGAGTCTAGGAAACTGAAGATGGACAGAAGCAACATCCTTTCAAGTGTTGACCAGTAAGATCAAGCACTGTACCCACAGTTAAAGCTTCACTTTGGAACAAACCATACAGGAAGCTACAAACAAGAGGTGACTGCTTCCATAACTCATCTTCACGAGCAGATGCTTTTTTGGGCAACAAGACCTTCAAAAGAAGGCCCAGGACTTTGGTGCCCATTTCAAGCAGTCCACTTGGAGAGCCTTCATTTCTTCCCCAGCAGCAGCAGAAAATGAGGAGGCAGAGATCCGCGCGTACACCTGAAGGTGTGGTTGGTACATCACACATGGTTTCTGGTTTTGCACCTGAGTGCTTTTCTCAGTAGTGTAGTAAAGACTGTCTTCATTAACTCATGCTGCTGTTTATGAGTTTACAGGAATTAATAAGCCAGCATCTATGTATTTACTCAAGCTGTGCTTAACAAGTGATACTTAAGTCTACTAATTACACATAACAGTCAATCAAGCAAAACAGGGAGCACAGGAACATTTTGAAAGGCAGATGGAGTTCTAATTTAGCCTTTCTGAGGTCAAATACTTTGCATGGTATAAAACAATGATTTTTTTTCTTTAAGAGAAGATATGTATCTAGTGAAATGAAAAATTAAACATTTCAAGTCAGCCAATGTTACGTTACATACTGCAGATAATCTGCTATTTGTGCCTGGACTCCTGTTTATTGCAGTTAAGTTTTTGCTACTCTTTAAAAGCAAGGGACACAACGTTGAGTGGATAGCAGAAGAGGAGCAAAGGAAAAAAAACAAACAGCACTATGTGTCTTTAAGCTGGAATGCACCCAGCTCAGACTATTGTAGCCTGAGCTCTTTTTTGAAGGTGTTTTATATATATTTTTTCCTTCGAGAAAGCCTACAAGTTACAAATGAACAGGTGTCAGTCACAGAACATATTCCTCCCTGCTTAGAGTGCCTGGAAAGTCAATGGCCAAGGATCCAATCTGACTCCTCTTGGGGTAACCAGATTTTTTTTCCTGGATTTGGACAGAGCATCAGCAACCACGCATTGGCACCTTGATTCCAGACTGAAAAAGCAGATGGACAGGTGCCCGGCGTACTGTATTGACATTTAAAATATTTAAGTCAAATTTAGAGCAATAGAATGAGCAAATCAACATGATCTTGGAAAAGGTACGTGGAAAAAATAACAGCAATGTTATAGATTTCATAAATTTATGGTTTAGAGGAAACATTTTTCATGTTGCAGATAATTCCCTATCAAAATACAGCTGTCAGGCAGCTGCAGAAACAAGATTCTCTAGAGACTTTTTTTTAATGTAACAGTGGCTCTGGTACTAAGTGCAGCGTGTGGCAAGAAATAATAGAAAAATTAACTGGTAACTCACAAGTTGGTTAAACCTTACTGCTCCTAGCAGTACTTCTTTGTGGGAATAAAGTGTACTAACAGCAAATATTGAAAGGAATTTTTACACAAACCCAGTCTCCTCCCAATAGCAGAGGCCGTCCTGAACCATAATATGCAAAACACTCTTCAGACTCCACAATATGAAATGCTGGACGAAAAAGTGCAAGAGTAATCTTAAACTCATAATTGAAAGTCAAATTGAAATTATTTTTAGGAAACGCCTGTCTCAGTAGCTTTCTAATGACAGTTTTGTCTCCCCAGGGCTTTAGAGTACTGTTTTCCCCACTTGGATGTACTTAAGAGGCAGGTAAATTCTTGGCATTCCTTAAACATGAATCCTGTTTGCTTAGCTTCCCATAGCCGAGTCAGAGCAGGTCATCTATTGTTCATTAACTTTTCTACTGAATTGTCATTGCCGCTGTTGCACGGAAACTTAAGCTGTTGCTGAACTGTCCTGTTCTTTCTAGGCTTTGGCTGCAGGCTTTGCTTTAACACTTCAGCAGGCTTTAGATTACGTATAATGGATTTGGAAGAAATTTTTTTCCACCTCTAAGTTCTTGACTGCACAGCCTGGGAGAACACTTTAGTTGTGCAGAAGACCTCAGCATGGTTTCCAAACCTTGTGCCTTTAAACACTGGTGGCATTGCTTTTAGGACCATCACAGGGCAAGCTGCTTTTGTATCATCCCAGTTAGGAGGCCTCAGAAGAGGTAACCCCTTTAGCATCTGCCAGTAGGTAATCCTGCACCATAAAGAAATTAGACTGACAGCCAGTATCCAGTCCTAGAGCCATTCTGCATTTGTATTTAAGTACTAGAGAAAAGTCAATCTTCAGCAAGAGCATAAAGGTAGAGGCCTTAGAATAAAACTGGGTGGCTTTTAATACCTGCTTGAATAAGCATTTCTGCCTATGGAACCTAAACAGGCACAAGTCCATAGGACCTCAGGAGATGCATCCCATAGTCCTGAGGGAACTGGCTCTGCCAGCTGCTGTTATTCATCATACTTGAAACATTCTGATAGTCTGGTGGAGTCCATAAACTGGAAAAGGGAAAACAACCTCCATTTTTGGAAAAGAAAAATGGAAAACCAGGGGAACTAGAAACTGGTTGGTATGACTCACCTCTGTGCCTGGTATAACCACAGAGCAGAAACTGGAAACTGTGTTAAGGCAGGGAGGTGACTGGTGCCAGCCAACATTGTTTCACAAAGGGCAAATCACACCTGCCTAACTTGATGACCTTCTATGATACCAATAGTAACAGAGGACAAGAGAAGAGCAACACACTGCCATCAACTTTGACTTGCATACAGCTTTTGATCCTTGTCTCTAATTTAGGGAGACATGGATTTGATTGCTTTATAAGAAGTTGGCTGGATGGTCACATCTGAAGAGTTGCAGTTAATGTCTCAACATCCACGTAGAATCACAGAATGGTTTGAGTTGGAAGGGACCTTAAGGATCAAACTCCAACCCCCTGCAGCAGGCAGAGTTGCCAACCCCCACATCTAATCCTAGACCAGGCTGCCCCAGTCCCCATCCAACCTGGCCTCAAACACCTCCAGGGATGAGGCATCCATAACCTCTTTAGGCAATAGCTGCTTAATGAGCAGTAGCAGGGACTGGTACAGTTTTTGTGGGAAACCTAGAAACCTGAGGTAAAATGAGCTAAAATAGAGAAACATCAATTGCTTAAGGTGGATATTTAGTTTTGTAAAGGTCAGTCTGGAAAGCTGTTCTTCAGAGCTGAGTTACTGCTAATTTGTCACAGCTGACTACTCTAAATTATACAATCTCTTAATGCTGTAACCTGGATTCTCTTCTTTTAATTCAAGAGGCTTAGTTATGCATTTTAAACAGTGTTGAGCACTCAAGAATATCTTGAAGTTACCATTCCATATTCAAAGGACAATTAGAGAAATCTGACATGACAGAACAGGTTCTGAGTGACATATGAATACTATATTCAGATGTGAACAATTGGAAGGTTCTGAGGGCATCACTGCTTGCACAGGTATTCTCTACTGAGGCAACTGTTATGGGTATCAGCATTGCTAGATCTCTGTAAGATGAAAGTGAAGCTGCTATTCCTACAGAACTGCTCACACGAAATCTGGAAGTTCCACTGATGCTTGTTGCCTCTGCTTAGCAATAAGACTGGCAACCACGGGTTTCCCCACCTAGTTTGTTATCCAGATTAGTATGTGCCTACTGCATCTTACAAGGCAAGTTTCATTTTGAACTCTCAAAGAGAGTCCAAGCTTAAGTACAGTAAATACACGTCAAGGTCTGTTACATAAAACCAGCAGAAGCAAGAGTTGGCTTAAATCAGAGGAATATTTTAAATATTTAATGCCAAGGGGAAAAAAAAAAATACAGATTTGATTATGATAAGTCTCAATTTTTCGCATTCATGTAGGCATTTTTAGCCTCAAGAACAGCTTAACACTTTCATTTGGCTACCCTGGATATGCTACCTCATTTTAAACTGGTCGCTTAAACTGAAAAAACTGAAAGGCATCCCCCCTACAGAGGCAAAGTGAACTTAGTCAAGTAATTCATAGGAATCCCTTACATAAGGAATACATAAATCTATTTCAAAATTAAGCCAACTGGTATCAAAAAGCATGCGAGCACATGGGGCAGAACTGCTGGATCATCACTACAAACAATTTAAGCAAACTTTTATTGAAGCATTAAGTTGTGGTACAGATATTTTTAAATGATCAAAGTCTAACACCACAGAAATTATGAACACCATACTCCTCCCCATCCTGATCACCCCAGATAGTTCAATAATCCATTCAACAGCTTTCATTTTTATAGCCGAGGCTTATGCTTCTATGCATAAAATGTGTATTTCAGTATTACTTGAAAAGGGATCTTCAGTCTACTTGAAGGACCTCAAGCCAGATGTCAGATCAGTTGGGACAACAATTAACAAAAACCACTGAAATATTGGTCCTCAGTATTAACACCAAGAAGCATTAGTGCCATTTACAGCATGTACTTGATAACACCAGTAAAGAACATCAACAATACACTTAAAAATTCAGAGTGTTCCAACCACTTGATTTCTAACCAAGCAGACCTCAGTTTAGAAGCACTAAAAAAAAAAAAAACAACAACAACAAAAAAACCTGCTTCATTTATAAATACAGAAGGAACAAAAAAAGAACCATTGCATCAAACCAGAAAGTCAAAACATTGCAAGGACAAGAGGAAAGAAAAACCCAATTTCTTAATTAATGTGCTGGTCTCACAGCTGTTAAGATCCCAGTATTTGCAAACATAACTGAAAGTCTCCCAGCTTTTTAAAGTCTGCAGGTTAGTCAATTCCCATTAATGTGACTTTGAATTACACTTATTCATGTTCTATGAATAGCATTCTACTTCACTTCTGTCCAGGTGAGCCAGACAGTTCTCGTTCTATGCCTTCACTGAATGCCCTCAAGTCACAGTAAGAGGAACCACCATAGAAATTAGGAGGAAAAAACAGATGAGATCACAACAATCAAATACAACATAAGTCACGTGCACAACAATGTCACAGGACTGTCACAAGATAGAAGCATTAGCTTTGCTTTTGGAACAACAAAATGAAGTGACACTGGACTAGCGTAGAAGCACTCTTTACAGTTACAAGTGGTAACTTGGAAGCTTTACTGAGAATAACCCAAACCAATCAACACACCAGCCTGGCAAATCCCACTCCTTTGCTAGGTCTTTCTGCCAGTGCTTGAGAGCACCAGCTTCTTAGTCATAACTGGTGATTAGGAAAGAAGATGTCTGGTGCCAATATGATCTTGCTCTTCGCAAAGCTGTCACACAACTATGCCAAAGCACTTGGATCCCGACTCAGCTCTCCCCCATCAAGTCTGACCTTCTCCAAACTCTGCCACTGTGTAGCAGTGTGACAGCTTAGGGACGTGGACAGATAAATACCAGCATTAAGCTAAGAAAAAGTTCAACCTGCATTAGTACCTGTACCCAGATGTCTAGAGGTGAAAGACCAGTGCAGTAGCCCAGTGCTACAGTATAGCTGAACAGATTCCTATAAATTTAGAGCATGAAAAGTCAGTCTGATGTAAAAATAAGACAACCACCACCTTAGTAAGTAGCAAAACAATTTGTAACTGTTTTTAAGAACTTTCTTCAAACACAAAAGTGTTACTTAGGAATCAGTTTCATTAGAAATCATACAAGCTTGTCAAAAATCATTTTAGACTGAAGTCACAACATAGACGAAAAAAATCAATGACAATTTAACAAAGAACTGTCCCAGTGAGTAGGTTGAGGCTGAAGCCTAATGAGGACGAAAGCCTTGTCTGTGGGAAATTTTTGGCGATACCTGGAGAAAAACTATACTGTGTGTAATTCTATCTGAATCATTTTTACAAGTGTTGTTATGTTTCATACAGTAAGATTTTTCTACATGCACTTCAATTTCACAGCAAGAGTGGCATAGAGTACCTAAACACAGAAGAGAGCATTCATGCAAGATATCTAACTCCTGGATATAATAATGCATACAATTCAAAATGGTTATACTATGATTACACCTAGGGCTTTCCACAGCTACAAGGTGGTGGCAATGGAAAGCATGGCCCCCTGAATCAGTAACTAGAAAGCAACCACCACCTTCTCTATGGGATCTCTTTTTGCGCTTTTTCTTCATTCTTAATCAACTGTGCTGCTGCTGGCGATTCTTCGTAAAACTGGTAAAAACAAAATTGTAATCACTGAATTGAGCAATCTGGTGATCAAGACGTTTAAACCCTTCAATCTTCTGCGCGGAAGAAAACACTGTGCGACATTTAGAGCTCTAGAAAACAAAAAGTGAAGTTCACTTTTTACACTTAGCATTAAGAGATGGACTGGCACAATATGATCCAGTAATTCTGACATCTAACATGCTTTAAACTCTTGTATGATGGCTGCTCAAAGCTTTAGTCCCAAGCAATGATTCTCCTTATGTAGAGTACTGCTCATTCATGAGTCATTTGCTGGCAGCATCACCATCAGCACTTTTACAACTGACAGCTGTAGCCAAATTCAGAAAAATGCAAGTTATGCCTATACAGATCTCCACATGAAGTCACCAGAATGCTGAATTTGAACTGCCTTGTCTTAAAATACAAGTTTCCTGGAGATCAAATTTAGTGCATGCCAAAGCAATACTGAAGATTACTTCAGCTTTCTAAGTAAACTACCATACAAATGTAGAGGCAGACTAGAAAACACTAGTGCCCCAGTAAAAACATCTCCAGCACTGTGCTTTGTGTCTATCTGCATTTCAGGAGCTAACAAGCTATTGCACGGGGACTCACCTGATTAACAAAGAGGGTTGTTACAAATTTTCCTGGCTTGAAAACCTCTACAACTTTTCTAATCAGGTCATCATAAGAAGTTTGACTTATGTTTGTTTCAAAACTAACGTAAGAGAATTCTGGTTCTGGAGTGATGTGAATAGTCCAGTAAGTTCCCTGAAGAAAAAAAGAAAAGGTTATTATCACAAAATAAGTAAAACTGAAAATTTGTATTAAGGTAAGCAAGTGAGGAACTTACATCCGATTTCATCCCATTCATTGAATACCCACAAGGATTGAACATTGTAGCATCAATAACAGAACCTGGTATCAGGTCACGAATTCCACTCATCTGAAAGAGAAGTTGAAATCACACATCTCTGTAAGTTTGTTCATTTAACTCAGAACAAATATTAATTTAGGAACAGGACACCAGAATTCTCCCAATAACAGATCAGTTTGATATTATGAACCACTGTAGAGAAACTTGCTTTTCATCTTCTCATTTATCTGGCGAGTGCTGAGCTGCATACAAGTTATTGCATACTTTGAACTTACTTTGAACCAAACTGCACAGCAGCAAGAGGGAGCAACTTTGAATTACAGCACATAAGTGCATCTGCAACTTATGCAAAATGGAGCACCTAGTCAACCAGTAAACAGCCTTCAGTTTGTGGATACATTCGCTCTGGAGTGTGAATGTACTTCCTTCTACTGCATGAATAAAGCAGAATCCAAGGGATTCCCCTCAAAGTACTTGAAGCACAGAACAATTTCTACAGCAAATACAGTAATGAGAATCAAAACTTAAGAGCAGAAAACCAGATAAAGTCAGTGTATTTTATCAGTGAAACTTGTTCACATCACAGGAGTTATTCATTTGGAGAAGAAAAAAAAAAATAAAAAAAATCAAGGAAAGGAGGCAAAACCATCAAGATTATGCTTGGACCTTAACCTCTCCCTCACTGCTATACTCTAAACCACCAAAGGGCTTTGTGATTTATCTGTAATTTTAATAGCTAGATACCTATACTATTAATTATTTTCAGCTTCAGTCTTCTTGTCATCTCCATTCTACTCAACTGCATTTCTATACCTATTTCTCCATCCTCCAGGGGAGGAAACTTCCAGTCACCCAAAGCACTGCAAATTGCTCTTTTCCATCGATTAAAATGAGGACAGAAGTTACAGAGCTAAACCCATTTGACCAAAACACCAAAGCTCCAAAGCATTAATCTGATTTTTTAAGACTTTTCTCAACAATAAAATAAAGCTTATAAATACAAGGAAAGCATTGCCTAATTTCAACCACTCCTAAAGCATTTAGTTTTCAAGCACACATACACGAGTGACATCATTTGCAGTAACACCATCTTTCATGTAGAACTGGTCCATCACTACTGGGTCAAGCTCACTCATCAGAATTTCCAGTGTCTGATCAGGCTGATTGGATATCCGACTCTCTGGGAAATCCAGGGTGTACAGGTACCTGTGTATGATACAAATCACTTCTGTAATCAGTATGATCAGCACCAAGTTCAGCTGTCAGCCCCAAAGATATTCAAGTTCTTGTAATACATACCAGCAATCAGAATTCATACGTCCCATGCAATAAGCTGCTCCATCTAGTCAAGACAAAAAGGCTCCAGTTAAGATACCACAGCAGAGATTACGTAATACTGGCCTCACTTCACATTTAAGGATAGTGTCTCTCACAGCACACCAACTGACACAGCTAACATCTGTATCAAATAAGTAGGCATTTAACTTCAGAAGCATTAGGCCAATAGCCAGAAGAACAGGCTCCTTCAGGTGATCTGAGCACCCCAATATGGAGCCTACTTATAGCTTTGACTGTGCACATGCAGATATGCCAGATTTGCTCCTATTTGCTAAAAACACTCAGTACTACAGCTTCCACATTGTCTCAAAAAAACCTTTTCTGCCAGTATTTAAAAATCAAAGTGCCAGGCTTTAGATTCCATTTAATAAAATGCTCAAATTAAATCTTTAATGCAGTACAGTGACTATTCAGAACAGCTTACATTTTTCTTCACTGTATTGGTTGTTACATTACTACTCCATCTTTGCAGTGAGGCTTTTGGAGTCTGAGAGCTGAATTTTGCAGACTTACTCTATCCCTGAATATCATCACGTTAAGAGAAGGTGTTATGTGTCAAGCTTAGGAGATTTTAAATTTGATTTTAGTGAGCATCAGGAAATTCTTTATAGCTTTTTCATCTGTACACTATTGAAGCTTGGGCCAGCTGCAGAACTGCAAGATCTGCTAAATGAATGGCCTCCTCAAAAGTCTATGTATTATCACGCCACTTGTTGCTTCTCACTTCATATCAATGCTTTACACAAGCTGTGCAACCTCACTGTAGTTTCATATGCTTACTTGGGAAAATTTCATTAAGAAACTCCACTTCTTCCTGGAAATTCCTATGTGGGTACTCCTGGTGGGAAGGCTTCATGAAATTCTTACGTGAATAAAAGAAGCTCTGAAAAAAATAAAAGTGTATGTTAAATATCAAATATCTGCCTACAACTTAACCTAGAAGCAATTTAGAAAATTTAATATAAGCTTTCACAGGACATGACTTCTCCACATCAAAAATGCTGCTAGATATTTGTTTATTCCTAGCATGATTAGTAAGCTACAGGAGAGAGCTGACTTCTGAATTGGTTTTCCACAAAAAAAAAAAATCCAATTATTTCAGCACTGACTATGGAGGCATGGAAGTTCTTCACCTCTAAGTAGCCTTAACTCAGCACAGTAGCATTTATAAGTAAGAGATCTTTAAAAGGCAAATAGAAGGCTAAATTCCATAGCAGAGCAAACAGTCATATAACCTATTCTAGGAAGCAAACAACTAAGAAATACTTGAAATAAGGGAAACAAATTTGAAATGGTAATAAAAGGCTTGCTGTTTTAAGGGAGATGCATTTTTAGCACTTTACCTGAATTGAGTCAAACCCACTGTACTCCCTAGCAAGCTCCAACAGGGGAACCAGTGCTTGCAGTAAGAGGGTGGTACCACACGTCTTCAAAATGAAACGTCTCTTGGAGACAAACATGCTACTCTCACTGTGAAAGCGATGAGAAAGAGACATTAAACACTTAGCACAACGCAGGAGACAAAGGTTAGGTCTTGGTTCCTATCCCAACCACGTGCATTACTGCAAATGAACATTCAGTATACAGGACATTAACATGCTTGGCAAATTGATTAAATCTGTAAAGTTAGCAAACATATGAGAGCTGTTACAATTTTGTATAGCCATTACTTGCTCTAGCTGCATGATATTATACAGCTACTGCCCTGCAGGAAATGACCTACATGCATTACTTGTCCTCAGTCTACTCAAGAAACACAGGTGCTGAGAAGCAGGTACACAACAATGAGCCACAAAGATGATCAGAGGGTGGGAGCACCTCCCCTACAAACACAGGCTGAGGGAGCTGGGCTTGTTCAGCCTGGAGCAAAGGCTGCAGGGTGACCTCATTGCAGCCTTTCAATACCTAAAGGGAGCCTACAAACAGGAGGGGAATCTTTGAAAGGGTTGATAACAGCAGGACAAGGGGAAATGGTTTTAAGTTGAGGGAGGGGAGATTTAGGTTGGATGTCAGGGGGAAGTTCTTTACTATGAGAGTGGTGAGGTGCTGGAACAGGCTGCCCAGAGAGGCTGTGAATGTCCCATCCCTGGAGGTGTTCAAGGCCAGACTGGATGGGGCCCTGGGCAGCCTGGTCTAGCATTAAATGGGAGGTTGGTGGCCCTGCATGTGGCAGGGGAGTTGGAGATTCATGTTCCTTGAGGTCCCTTCCAACCCTGGCCATTCTGTGATTCTAGATGCAGAATGGAGTCAAACTTCAAAAATCTGACCTCAGCTAAAATAAAGCTATCAAGAAAGTCAGCCCAGAGAGAAGCAAAATCCTTACAGAAATTAATACTATGTCTGCCTGCATCTTTTAAGACATCTGACTACTAGGAAATGATTAATCAGCATCTGTCCACAGAAATCACTGGTTATAAGCACAGTCCTGTAATATGCCTTATGCAGAAGACAAAGTTTACATACCATTGACTTCTTTAAGTCAGATAAGAACTACAAGCCCACCAAACTGAAGATTATAATTGATGCTACGTCCAGAACACTTAAGTGTATAGCAAGTACTTTCTCAGCAAATAAACGAAGAGGACAAATCTGGCTTAAATAGTTTTAACTGAACTTAGAGTCCTGGTTAAGAATGAAAAGTAAAGGTTATATTTTACCTAGGATATAGGAGTTGTTTCAGAATATATATATATTTTTTTAATACAAAGGTTGCAGAAAGAAGACTTCAGCAGTTTTCAACAGTTTGCTCTTAACCCAGCCTTCCCTTTCAGACAGGCTTTCAGAGTACAAAAGCTTCAGATTTTGTAATCTGAAGTAAAGCAGAGAGTGTCACTGTGTCTGACAAGTTCACTCAGAAAAAAGCATGAAAGTATTTTCAAGATGAAAAACATGGCAAAAGGCCAACTGCTGTGCAAGGCCAAAACCCCAAGATTTCAGAAAGATACATTTTTACAAGTATTCTTTATGGTAATGTATTATCTGTCTTTAAAGCCAATTTATTGATAGTTGTTTGTTGTTTTGACCTAAAACTAAAAGATGCGCTTTTTTGCTGAAGTGTTCCTAAAATTTGAATAGATTTTTAATTGGAGGAGACTTCTTTATCCCAGGACAAAAATTCAATGATCAGGTGCAGAAATGCCACAGCAAGTAAAAACTAATCACAGTTAACAATCATGAAAACATTCCTGTTACTGAACAGAAGCATGATAGTTCTACAGTTAGCATGCCCTTGCAAACTGTAGCTGTTAATGACAGGATCTTAATCCAAGATTGGATTATCAGCCAAACATCATTTCCCATACAACAGCTTTAACATTTTTAGCTACTGGGCTCTTTAAGAAGCAGTTATAATGGGCTTACCTGAGTACATAAGCTTCCTGCTTGTCAGTTTTTGTCACACTTATGATCAAACAATGCACATTCTCCAGAAGTTTGTCCCACTCAATCCTGTAAAGAAATTACAACAGAGTCAAAACAGGTTAAACCAAAGCTTTCTGGAACACGGGATAAAAATGTATCACAAAAAGATTGTAACTGTTATTGTCTCCTTTCATGCTCGCAGATGCAAGAATTCTTCATGTAGGAACCGCGAACCCAACAGAAATGCTATTCAATTCTTAGCTCTCAATGGCAAAATTTGAGTTTTCCACAGGAACCATTAAAATAATCTGCTGCACGGGTGCAACTATCAAACAACAGCACCAAGACTCTAACAAGGCAGGTGTAATGCTATAATGGGGTGATAACAGAATGGTGGCAAAGTCTTTGGCTACAGTGAATGTGAACAAGCCCAAATGCAGCAGCCAAGGGTTCAGAAATGGAGGAAAAGAGCTGCTTATCTTTGGAAGGCCTCAGGTAAGCAGGGATCTCCAGCAAGATACTTTAACCTCCATTGCCAACCCTTAAAATGATGTCTGCAAGGGGGTGGATCCTGGCTTCACCCCTTCTGGTCACTCAAGTGCACTGCATACAGCTGAGCTCCTTTGGGTTGGCTCTGCCTTCTGCCAGGTGCTCAATCACTGTTTCAGGCCATGGCTTAGCATTTCTGCTACAGCAAGCTAAACATTACACCCTCCACATAGGAAAAGGAGAAAACTCAATGTTATAACAATGTATGCTTTAAGTTGAATCTTCACATACTTTCAATTCCAGGAGCCACTGGTAGCTATCAGAGCAACACAGCAGTACATTATCATTAAGAGGTTACATCTGTTCAACTTGGAATCAAGTTCATAATTTTAATGAAAATCAGCCCTAAGAAATAATACATCTTAATGGCCTGAATTCCTCTTTGATCAATATGGATAATAGAATTCCTTCTACTTCCAGAAGATGTTGATTCAACATCTGCTAGATTTCACCATGATGGTATATATTATTTCAATTCTTCACTGTCATTATTCATTCTGAGAGAAATTCTACTAGCAAACTGAAAATTCAAAAGGCATAAATGAAGCAAAAAAAAACTTCCAAGCACTCATGAGAAGCTACAGACTCGCAAAAAAAAACAAACAAAAAAAAAACAAACAAACACCCTCAACTATTGTCACTTCAGTCTTGTATCTAGTAGTATAATCCAATACAGCAGTAAAATTTGCTATGGGACAGATACAACTTCACAAGGTTACAAAATTACAAGACTGTCACAGCTTCCCATTTCTCCCTTCCTACAGCATATTCCAACTGTTTGTGCTGGCTCCTGCTTGGACCTGTTATGAGCCAAGGAATCTACTAACCCAGCATATAAGTAAGTTACCCACCAGGTCATAGAGCAGAAGCAACTATGAGAACTAAAACCCTTTTACCAGCTGGTAAAGGGTAGACAACTCTTCACAGCTGGGGGACTGAGGGAAACACTTTCCTTCCAATCACCACACAAGCTCCCAGATGAGCTCAGCTGTCCCTGTAACTGTCAGCCTAATCCTCAGGGGTCAGACCTTCTTTCCCTTTGGCACTGCAAAAGCTTGATAGCTGTACTTCAGGACAAAGCACTCGCTGTTAATTCTAGCAGCAGGTTTGTTCCAGCAGCTCCCAATCTTTTCCCTTAAGGGAAAAAGAAAAAAAAAGTCAATTTGCTGGAGTGAAACTTCAATGCAAAGCTGAAGTTTTAGGATCTCCTATCTCCCAGCTGTAGTCCAGATGCTCTTTGCTTCCCAAGCACCCTGGTACATAAATGCCTCTTGTTTTTCCCCTCACTTGAGGATGCCTCCTGATCTGAATTCTGCACCTTTGCTACTTGAGGATTTTTTTCCCCTTTTAAAGTCTGCATTGCACTAAACCAGTGTAAGTCATCCAGAACATGCTTAGCTTACAGACTGCATCCTTCTTTTAGGAAAGAGTGAAGCTATGAGAAGTGACTTTAAAAGAATCCTCTCCATCTTGAAATCTCTCATGATTAGGTGCACATCTGATCAACTTTACTTGATGAAATCCAACTTTTAATGATCCAGATATTCAAAGTGAATTTTTCCCTACCATTCCAGTTAGTGAACCTTGATGAAATTCTGTTCAGCAACTGGAGATATGGCAGCACAGACTGCTCAAATCTGCAGATCAAGTTGATAAGCTCATTTTGAATGCACTGACACAAACTATGCCATACTATGGGCTGTGTTCCTGATCCTCAAGTTCATATGAAAATGCAACCAGTCTCTTCTCATCTCTGAGCAACCTGGCAAATGCAAAGAGTGAAACTGTTGATGTCAAACATTTTTAATATGGTCCTGGACAACCAGGCTATTTTGGTGAGAAGAGGACTTCAGGATTTAGTCACCTTGAAGCTACAGCAAACCCACATACATTTGCCAGCTTTACTGTCTTCCCTGTAACATTTTACTATACTCTTCTTGTAAACTGAACTAGGTGATGAGTTAATTGTATTTGCTATTGCAGAATAACTCCAAATCATCTCAGCAGCACTCCTGTTTATGTCCTATCTGCCCCTGATGAAACAATACTCAGAGGTCTAACACAGCATTTGTGACAGTTGAGGCACAGATCTCTTACACTGCCTGATGCTGCAGTAATTCTACTTGTACACTACCACAGATAAGATTTTGTACTTGTCTGAGCATTAATGGACCTGTAACTATCTCAGACACTGCCAAAGCATAGATCAAAATCTCAGCACTGTGCATGTAACCAAGAATTTTCTAAATATCACTGTGCTGCAGCAATGGCCATTTCAGGAAAATAACTCCTTAAGTCATATTAGTGGAGGAAGATGCAACAATTCTAAGGTTCAAGAGCACAACAACAAGGGATCAATATAGCACCAATACAGTGTTGCGTGTTAAATCCAAAGCAAACCATGCAAAGGAATTCCCTATTAAGTTCATTATTACTATAGCTGGCATTTTGGTACTGCAGTGTAAACTGCAGTGGCACAACATATTATTTAAAATCTATGAAAGTTCTGCTCTACTCTTCAGTACTCCAACTACAGAAACCACAGCTAACCATATGCTGTGTTTGTGCATTCAGCTTTTACAGGAACTAATGGAGAGTTTTTTTAGTTGTTCTGATTAAGGTAGCATTGAGAAAGAAAAAGCCAACAAACTGAGCAATACATAAGATGTCAATCTTGATCCAGAAACATACATAAAACAAACAAAGGGTTGCAGCAGCCAGGATGAGACTTGGCCATATCATGAAGTTTTATGGATATACTCACCTTATCTATATGCATTTTAAAGCAGAGCACAGGAAGCAATTACAGAAAGGCCACCACACCTCACCTCACCTCCAAATGCTGGATTTGATCCCTATATAATTAAACAAGATGACCTTTTTATTTGACACTTTTCATTGTTTTAAGCTGAGCTAGAAAACATTTGTGATTGCTCTGTTCTGCAGTCAAGGTTTACTAAGTTTAACTCTTCCTTTAATCTGCAGAATTATTCAAGAGTTTCAGCTAAGAGACAATGTTTCCCTTTCACTTACCATGGGAGCAAAAATTAAGAGATAGCCTTTCAATATTATCAGTGCATGTATTACACTTAATGTGATTGTATTTTGTCAAACAAAAAACCTTGAAGTTAATAACTGTGAAAGACTTGAACATCACATCCTGTTTCATATTAAACCAAACTGTGAAGCAATGCTTCCAACTGAAAAAGAGCCCAAGAGATTAATTTTCAATGAAATGCCATCATGGGCTTCTGCTTCTCCAAATTCCCCTTTCAAGGGGAAATGAGGATTGCATTACCATTTCCTGTATTTCTCATAAGCAGCCATCAGGGCAACACCAGACACTTTGGAACCGATCTCCATGAGGAAGCTAAGCACATTAGAAGACAAGACTTGAGTATCATTGGTAGCCAAGTGATTTCTGTAGCAGGCTTGCATCCACTGGAACTCCAAAGTGACAAAATCATCTCAGATCAACAACTTGTTGTTAAGTAAAGTTAGTATTACCTATTCCAAAGTGATAAAATCCTGTTTCTTAATTATCAAACAGCAGACACCCACTGAAGGTCAGAAGCTTCTCCAATAGGCATGCAACGTGCATCTTAAATGGCTGCATGTGCCCAGAGAATATAAAATGAAATGAATACATGTACTCAAGTGTAAACAACTGTCCATGCTTAAATGTTAGAAAGCTGCTTGTTCTTTACTTGACTATCAGAAAATATAGAAAATATATTTTAGCAATCTACTCCTACATCCTACACTATCAGCAGACTGTTTCAGGCCAACCAGGAAGGGAGTGATAGTGTTCATGGAGTTCTAGATCTCCTAAATCAACTTGTTCCTGTAAACAGTCAGCAGCCTCCACAAACATACACCCTTCCCAGCTCTTTCAGCATCTTTCTCATGGAGCCCAAATAGCACTGTGTGAAAGTTGTTCTGTAGTAGGGCAGGAATTCTTTGGGAAAGCAAAACTTCTAAAGACAGCTTCAGCTGTATGTATCTATCTATCTATCTATATATATATACACACATATACACACACACTCTTGCATAGCTATTCATTAAAAATAAGACAACTGACAAATGTGTAGCAATCAAAGTAATAACCAATTTTACCTTGTACTTGACTGTTGAGATCTTGTTTAAAATCAAGTATTGAGCTATGGAGTAATACCTTTCACTCCCTCCACCTGTTACCTCCTAAATATTTACCTCATTAACAGACCACAGTTCAGCAGGCAGTATCCTGTCAGTACTCTGATCCAGACCATGGGTAAGTGTAATGCTCAGTCCAAGCCACCCATGCACAGTTAGCATAGAAGCTGACTGAATGCCAGTATCAGAGCTGCAACACCACTTAAAATTATTTTGAAACAGGTAGAAGCAGTAGCTGCCAACTACTCAAATCACAAGCTTCTTAAAGCATCTCTAGCAGCTCGTGTTTTTTTCTGAGCAGAATGACAGATGCATGTTAATTATTTCCTATTAAAATTATAATTTAGCTTATAGATTGCTGTTGAATATAGACTTCCTTAGATCATATATACTCAAGGCACTTCCAACATGATAATTTTACTTCTGCAGTATCTGTGGGGCACACAAGACCCACACACCCTCCACATGGCTTTGAAAATAGATACACAAGAACTCTACATTTCCCTTATCTTAAGCCTAAAACTTTCCCAAGGACATGCACGTAGTCTTGAGTGAAAGGCAAGCACTCGAATAGAAAGTCATATCCACATCACAAGCAACTCCACCACGCACTTTTAGCTAGAAGATCCTGAGCCAACTAGTAAAGATCATAATTCCCCAAGGACTCCAGGATATTTCAGCCAGGGCACAAAAGAGACCACAGATTTGAAGGTTGTGTATTGCTACTGTCACAGATCCTTTATTACTGTTGCTGAAGCAGTATACAAGGAACGCTGACTTCTGTACATCACCTCCAGAGATATTTGAGGGGCATTTGTCTGTTAAGGAGACAAAGGAGATCACATACCTGTCACTCAAGATGTTTCAGGAAGCATAATCCCCAACCAGCACATTAGGATTTCAGCAGAAGTCTTGCATGCAACATTTAAGGCAAGTTTGAGTCTAACCTTCTCCAGAAGGAACACACTGTAAGGCAGCAACTGTCTGCCACAGGCATCAAGCCTTCCTGCTCTCCTGGCTGAATAAACAGTCATTAGGAAAGTCATTTTAAGAACACACCAGTAGCCACAAGTTTAAAGAGGTTTATGAAGTGCTTATGACAGGAAGTAACTAACCAAATGCTGAAGCTTCAGCAGTAAGGCGGGAAAATATCAAATGGCTTCCAATGGAAGTCTCAGTTTTCTGCAAGCATGATAATGGTCAGTAGCAGTGAGCATAAAAGGACTTGGCTTGTTTCCTTTGTGTGAAGCTATTCTTTAAATGAGCGTTATAAGCAAATGTTTTATCTGCCATTTTGAACTTGTCTGCAATAGAGGAAGACTGAATTCTTAGGTAAAGTTCTCCAGATTATCTTTTACGTCCATGTGAAACAAGCTCATAGAGCAGAGACAGGATCCTGCCTCCTTGTACAACCCTGCCTCCCCTGCCACTGCACACATCACATGCCACAGGCAGTAGTGCAGAGCCAGGAGTAAGAGCACAGGAGGCTCGCAGCCCAGCCTTCCTGCACCTTTGCTGTTTGAAGGAACATGCAATAACACTACCAAGCTTTGCAGGGCTGTGGGATTTGACTCAGGCTGGAGGGTGTAGTTCAAAGCAAGTACTTACAGGACTTCCATCAGATGCTTGCCTTCGCTGTAGCTTAGCAGTTCTCATCTGGCATAGACTGAGAATTTCACTGTAATCGGTACCACCCCATAGTGCTCATTACTGCACTGCTCTTTCTCCAGTCCCTTATCTTGTGTCCAAGTACATACAAATAACTAAATTAAAGGTTTGTAAGTATCTCAATTTTGAATGCTTGAGATGCAGACTCCTAAATACTAGAATCCTTTGCCTATGGCTTCAAACTTGTGTGCATTTGAGACAGGAAGCCCAGAGGCTTAGCTGCACTCTCATCTGAAGGCATAAGCTGCTTTCTTTGCTGTGGGGACAGTGGAAACGCCACTCATCACAGAATTCCACTCACAGCATGGTCATCATGTTTCCAGCAGAACGTCATTTTTATACTTGAAGACTGTTTTGAACAAACGTGCTTTGCATAGCACAGTGAGAACCAAGGTAACGCGGATGACCAAAGCCACAAAAACGTTAACTCCATTTCTCAGTATGAGTGTGGCAGGCATCTCCAGCTGCTTGTCATTAATTCAATGACAGGACCTTTTTGCAGAACTCATCAGCAGACAAAGAAAAAGCCCCCACACCTCCGCAAATTAAAGCCCACATTAATCCATTTTCTTCTAGTTTTCAGCTGGGACTCTAACTGAAGGTATTAGAACAATACATTTCATATCTATACATATTATTCTCTAAAAAGCAGCCTTGCCCAAAGGAGAAAAAGATGTCATAACCTCTTCATTAACCAGTTGCTGAACCTTTGCCTTCGCAGCTGGTAATATCCAAAGACTTCAAACTATCTGATCCCTAGCAGGGGCACACAACATGGAAATTCTTGGCTTTGAACACCGGCTTAGTCATTCTGTGGATGAATAGCTGACATTTCACTACTAAGCAGGTACAATACAAAAGGCAAGCTCAACTGGTTTGCAACTTGACTCTAATTTAGCTATTGTTCTACAGTTTCAGCTTTGATTTCAAACTGTTCAAACGAGCTTATTCAATTGCCTTTATGGAATTAACATAGCAGGGTACACCGCATTCAGAATTTTCTCATTTGCCTCTATCAGCTGTAGTGAAAGTAATTTAGGGCCAACAACTCTCAAAAAGATTGTTAATAAAACTTTGTTTCATGCTAGCAACACAGTATCACTGATTGTTATCCCTAGATGCAGGTTAACAGCGCATCTCAGATGTCACACCTTCCTACCAAAAAAGGTAGACAGCTTCTATCAGCATCCTGCATGAAGATGCAATTAACACAAATGCCTTCAAAGCTCCCTCCCCATTCTCAAATTGTGTTAAAAGCCACATGTTTCATAGTTAACAGTTTGTATTTACCCTATTAAAATTTTATGGCCATATCTAAGCACTGTGAAGGAGCTGCCCAAGTACTTGCCCTTCCATTCCATTAAGTTGTATTAAGCAGCCTTAAAAACCAGGTTTGCTGGTTTGTAGATGGGAGTTTCACATCACAAATGAAACAGAGCATGAATGTGTCAATGAAGAAAGAATTTGCAGAATGCCACCTCTAAACCAGAAGTTCTGTAAATTCCAATACCAGCATATGAACGCAAAAATCAAATTTTTGGAAGTGTTCATATTTAAAATAAGTTAAGTACAGCAGAAACCCTGAAGTGCCTACATAACACTTAAGATCACCTGTAATAATTTCAGCTAGAATTTGCTCTTCCAGGGTTGCCTGGACATTGGCTACGCAAGTTCAAACTTTATATTTGCTATACCTCTTAAGTAATAACAGACGTATAATCACATCTCATCATTTCCATGCTAAGCACATTATTCAAAAAAGGTCTCAACAGCTTTATATGTCAGAGTTACATGAATAAACTGCCTCAGAGCACCAGGCGAGAGGCAAACATCTATGCTGCACTGCTTCTGTCATAGCAGAAACGAAGCTTCTGGTAGCTGGGAGCTAGTGACATAGATACATGTGCACACACGCAGGATGCCCATTATTTTAGGAGAGGCTGTTATCTGCTCACTTTCAGATAGCTTTTATTCAGACCTTTAGATAGCTAATTCTACTAATACATTTACAAAGGGAATCTGCTGAGAAATGCTGAAACAAAGGAAAAGACAAACAGCACAAGCTGAGTACGCACCTTTGACTGTAGATGCTGCCTTCATTACCATATCCCATACATTAAACATATCACAACATCTCATCTGAGCATCCTCAAGAAAGACCACTGGCTAACAGCAATACATGCAAGCAGATCTGGATATACCACAAACACCAGATTCTCTGAGTGCCATCCCAACCCATTAATTCAGTTTTACCAGACCTACAGTGGCCTAACAGAAGTGAGCCTTAGCATTTGCCTCACATGCTAAAGACAAAACAGCATTTTCAACTACGTGAATCCATCACATCTGCATGCAAATCTTGTGCCTCCTACAAACTTGTACGTGGTCCTGAGCCCATTCTAGGGCAAGTAAGCAGATTTTGCTTTCATTTCAGGCTTGCTGCAGCCATTTTCTGACACTTCCAGGGTGCTTGTGCCACAGTACCATATTCAGCAGCTCTACCGTTGGACCTCTTATTACAGGGATAGGCATCCCAGTCGATCCAGGCAGCTCTTTTTATGAAGTACCGTACTGGTGAGCTACAGCACAACCACCCGACGCCCGCTCTACCCGGTGGGGTTTCCACAAGGCACCCCGTGACCATCAGACCCGGCATTAACGAGGGCCCGGCTCAGCCGCAGCGGGAGGAAAGCCGTCCCCTGGCCCCGAGGCCGACTCGGGAGCACGTGTGCAGCCGAAGCCGTGCGGGCCCGGGCCTTTCTTCCAGCCTCGCTGGGTGGCAGTGAAAGAAGCGCACATTCTTCAGATACCCATTGGGTGACAGGCAGGGGCCCACCCCTGCGCGGCGCCCAGTTCTCATTGGCTTGAACTTGTCAATGGGGGAGAAAAAAAAAAAAAGAAGAGAGAGAGGCAGCGCGCCTGGGAGCAGCGCCAAGAAACTCACGTGTAAGCGGCGGCTCCGGCCACACTTCTGCGGGAGGAGCCCCCCCCGCTCCCTCGCCCGCCTCCCTCCGTGCCTACCGCGCCACGGGGCCGCCGGAGAGACCGGCCGCGAGGGACCCACCTCCCTCACGGCAGCCGGAGCCCCGTCACCGCGGGCGGCCTTCCCCGGCCCGCCTCCGCTCAGCCCGCCGCACGTCGCCGGCAGCGCCCCGCGCTGTCAGAGGGACGGGGAGCGGCGAGGCCCGCCGCCACCAACGGCTCCCGCTCCCGGCGGCCCGGAACCAACAGCCGTCCGCCCGCACACGGCCATTACCCGCGGCGCTGCCGCCACCACGCCCGGGCCGCGTGCGCGCCGGCCGCTGCCCTCCTCCCCACCATCCCTCCCCGCCTCCCTCCCTCCCTCCCGCGGCCGTTACGGCGGCTCTCCCCTCTCCCTCCCGCGGCCGCTCCCGGACCTGGGTATGGTGCGGAGGTCGCCGGACCCCTTGCTCTGGTGCGGCTCCTGCGGCGCGGGCTGCTGCCGGGCGAACCACACCTCCAGCAGCTTCTCGGTCCCTTCGAAGAAGTGTGCACCGTTCTCCTTCATGGTGAGACAACTCGGCAACCAACAACCACAGAAATTAACGGCGACCCCACCGCCGCCCCCCGGCTCCCGCTCCGTCTCGGGCGGGCTTCACCTTCTGGGGCTGTTGTGGCTTTTTTTTTTTTTCAATATTAATTTAAGAAAAAAAAAAAAAAAAAGAAAAAAAGAAAAAAAAAAAAAAAAAGATTTTTCTTTAAGCCACCCTGAATGCGCGGCGGCGAGCGCGGCGTGAGCGTATGTGAGAGGGTTACAGTCCGGGCGGGCGGGCGGGCGGTGCGGTTCCTTGTAGTCCGTGTTCCCCTGTTACAGAGAAGAGCGGTGAGCGAGCGCTAGCTAATGTCGCCGGCCATACTGTGTAAGCGAGGGGCTGTGCGCACTCCGCCGCCTTTATAGCTCGCAGGATCGCGGGGGCACACCGCGCGGCTGCGCGCTTGCCATTGGCCGGCCGCCTCTCAGGTCCGCCTTCCCTCGCTTCTGATAGGGCGGAGGGGACGCCCGTCAAAGGCTATGCCGGTTCGCTGCCCCACCCACTGCAGCCAGCCCGCTCAGCCTGGAGGAGCGGGAGCGCGGGGCTGGGGCTCGGGCTGAGGCAGCGCCCGGTACCGCGGCTGGGCCCGGCCGGCCCTCGCCGCCCCTAAACGGGATAGCGGGCTGAGGGCGGCGGGGGGCGATCGGAGCAGGGAGACCCGGGGAAGCTGAAGCCGAAGCAGCTGAGTGCTGCAAAGGGGCGCCCGCATAGCTTCGGGGCGCTCCAAGAGACGGCTGTTGCTGCTCCCCGCGCCGTGAGAGGAAGCGAGGAGTTACCTCAGCGCCCGGGCGTGCGACGGGGCCCGCTGGGGACGGGCAGCCGTGCCGGGCACCTTGTGGAACGAACCGTGCGGCTGTGCAGTCCTTTAAAACGTATTTTCAACACCGTTACGATAAGCCCTGCCTTATAACGCTGCGTAGCGCAAGGAAAGCCCTGCAGTTGAGCAGCCGTAGAGCAAAAAGCCGTAGAGCCCCGACGGACTCCGTCCGGCGGCGGGGGCAGAGGCCCGATGGATGGGCGCTGCCGAGAGGCGCCGGGACGGCAAGGCTCGGCTCAGGGGGCGGCCCCACAGGGTGGCTCTCACAGGGTGACTCAACGGCGTGAGTCAGCCGGGCGGGAACTACCCGGCCCGAAGAAGTCACTGCCGTGAAAAGGTGGTCTTCTTTCGGCTGTGTCTTGCTGCCTCCTCCGCTGAGCCGGTACGAGCGCTGGCATGGCTGCGCAGCAGGCTGCATCGGCTTTAATGATAGCGATTTAATTCTGACCGTAGTTAATAGCTTTAAATCGTGATCGTTTTTAACGTGCATCGGTTTCTCGAGCCTGTTGGTGTCTCAGCTTCATGCACGCTTGTGCTGGCTTGGACATGCACGAGAAGATACGGGTAGGGAGTGGAGGACCACTTTTTCCATAGATGTGTAAGTTCTATGGGTTTATAGCGCTTAAGGAAACCTCGGATGAGAGGTTGTGAGCTCTGACCAGCCACAGACCCTGCTTGTTCTTAATACAGTTTCTCCCACCTTCATTTCTATACACACACTAATTCTAAATCTCACCTTCTGTTAATGTCGGTCCCTGGTTTTCAGTCGGGATCTTCTGGTTACAAGCAATCTGTGTGACACTGCTCCAAGCACACATGTCTTTTTCTTGTCTTGGAAGGAGTCACTGATGTCCCAACCCCTGACTAGAGTATGGGTTCACCCCATGCCTTAGACCACATGCACATCATCTGCAGCATTTCGCCAGGGCCAACCATGCTTTGTCTGCTCCATTCAGCAAGTACTGTGTGACCTGTTCAAGCCAGGCTTCAATTTCTTGCCTGCTACAAGGCATCAGTCTGAGGAGTCCCTAGCTGTGGCTGTTGGTTTCTGCTGTTAGGGCACACCAACCATCCGTGGGGATCTTTGTAAGACTCTGCATAAGAGGACACTGTTAAAACAAAAGCAAAACCAAACCAAAACAAAACAAAAACCAGTTATTTCTTATTTCTAAGAAGCTTCTCTGTGTGAAGGAATAACCAAGAAGCAGCAGAAGTACTTGCTTCAATGTTAGTTGAGGAAGGAAATGAACTCAACACTGAAGAAAATGAAACAGCGAAAGAATTTGGAAATAAAGACAAGTACTTTGATGTGACAGAAAAGTAGCAGGGCGATAAAGAATGACTGAAGCCAGACAGTATGGGTGCAAACACTTAGAGAGAGATTTATATGATTGCTGAACACCACACGATTTTCTTCATAAGAGGCTGCATTGCTGAAAGAAGCAGAGAACACAGGTGGAAGAGAGAAATGAGCAGTGAAAGCCCTTTCTTGTGCCTGACAACTGGGCATGAACCAAGCATTGTGTGAGGGACAGGCTGAGGTTTCAGGGAAGACAGAAGGAAATTGTTGTGGATTAGAGATGTTCTGTGAGTCATCATTGGAAAGATGGTAGATGAATTTGTGTTTACAAGTGAGATTACCCAGAGATACAGGATGGAGAAGGAACTGAAGGACTAGCAGGTTCAAAAATGTCTGTCCAAAGGAGCTGCACTAATTTAACTATAGCAGTTTCAAAAGTGGTTTAATAACATTAACCACATATTCGATTCTGGAGGAAGGAGGGTTCTGGAAGCCAGGGAGGCGTGGATGTCATGCTATGATCATGAGACACAGGGCCAAGCATTATTTAGAATCTGGTTCCTTAGAATCTGCTGTTGCCACTAGTCAGGTGCATTGCTCTGGTGCCCAAGAATCTGCGCGTAGTACCAAACTAGTGTAACTGTATCAGCTCGTTTTTGTTACACGTGTAACCCAGCTCAATAGCCTGCCTGGTTCAGAGTTCTGCATCCAGAGCAGATTTGGGATTGCCTGAAACAGGGGTGAAATAATTCTGAGTATACATTGAGATTTCCCCTACAATAAGTTCAAATTTAACTGATAGAACTTCTGAATGTACTGCTGATACCCAGTTTATCTGCTAATGAAAATTGGAAGCACTGAATCACAGAATCCTTATAGTTGGAAGGGTCTTTTAAAGGCCACCTAGTGCAACTGTCCTGCAGTGAACAGGAACATGCACAGCTAGATCAGATTTTGCAGGACCTGATCCAGCCTGGCCTTGAAAGTCTCTGGGAACAAGTCATCAATCACATCTATGATAGTCTGTTCCAGTGCTTCACTACCCTCACTGTAAAAAATTTTTTCATTATATCCAATCTAAATCTATCCTCTTTGGGCTTTATACTATTTCCCCTTGTTTTATCACCACAGACCCTGCTAAGGAGCCTGTCCCCTCTTTCCTGTAGCTCCCCTTTAGATGCTGAAAGGCTGCTATCAGGTCACCTCACAGCCTTCTATTCTCCAGGCTGAACAGCCCCAGCTCTCTCAGCCTGTCCTTGTGTTGGAGAGGTGTTCCATCCCTTGGATCATTTGTGTGGCCCTGCACTGGATGCACTCCAACAGGTCTACGTCTCTCCTGTACTGAGGAGTCCATATCTGGATGCAGTAATCCAGTACTGAAGTTCCTCCAAGTAAAGCTTAAATGTCTCAGAACAAATATTTGTCAAACAAGAAGGAATCAGTTCTGTTTTGAAAAAGTGAATGAAATAAACAGGATAAGAATGTCAGTTTTGTCCTAAAAAGTAGTTGATACTAGTTTGTGTTCTAGAGCCTCAGATTTCAAGGTGATGGGCTATAAAATCACCACTGCAGGTGTTAGCCAGCTAACCTTATGATGGCTATGGTGAAATTTGTTTTCCATTCATCAAAGTTTACATGCTGTGCTAGCTCTCTTCAGAAATGGGATGGAGATGGAGAAGGTGAAGTCTCTTGGACAGACTGCATTAATTTTCCTGTGTCTTAGTCTATGTTTGTTCTGAACTTCTCAAACTCCTGCTATTATCTAACTGTCTTTGCTCCAGCAATCAGCCACTGTCCTTGTTAAAAACTGAGGCAAAATATTTTTTCTATTTGTGAAGTCCAGTTTATCTTTTGCCAAGATTATCTTCAATCTCTCTCCCATTCCAACTACATAACAGTGACAGTCCTTTATTGCCTTTTGTTTACGGGGATGAAGAATCTTTTTGGTTGTTTGCTTTTCATATCTTTTTCGAAGTCCAGCTCAGCTTGACTTTTGGCAGTTCTCATCTTGTCCTTCCTTTTCTTGATCTCTCAGATAACATTTCCTGCACTTAGTCCTCGTTGCCGTTTTGTAAATGTTTCAGTTTTGCTCGTGGTTATTTATTGAACTAGCACTGAATTTCCTCCATAGAACTTTCCCTGCTTTCTTGAACAACATATACACATACTCTTTTCACATCAAATAATCCGTTTATCATAGAATCACAGAATCATAGAATGGCCTGGGTTGACAAGGACCACAACACTCATCTAGTTTCAACCCCCTGCTGTGTGCAGGGTTGCCTACCAGCAGACCAGGCCTCCCAGAGCCACATCCAGCCTGGCCTTGAATGCATGCAGGGATGGGGCATCCACAGCCTCCTTGGGCAACCTGTTCCAGTGCCTCACCACCCTCTGTGTTCGCTGCTGGAGTAGAACCTTTTACCATCTTTCCTGAAATCAATTTTGACTTTAAAAAGTTGTTTTATCTATTCTAGCCCTCTTCTGTTGGCAGTCTGAACTCCTATTTGTTAAGCAATGACTATCACACCTATATACATTTTCCAGCAAATTTGTTTAATTAATATAATGCACTGCATATGTTAATGAGCGTAATTCACAGTATAAGGACTACAATGTAAATGGTTTGTCCTTATCTAAGATCATTGCTCAGAAGTGTTTTTAGCCAAATTGTCATTATCTTCTACTTCACTTTTTATTTATACTTAATGTTTTAAATATATCATTCAAAAATATTCTAAATTTGCAGTAACAGGTGAAGAAAATAATTTGGGATAATCCTTTTTTTTTTTCTTCTTCTTATTGATATTATTTTTTCAGTGTTCTGAAAACTTATGTATCAGTCTCTACCTTTAAGGAAGTAAAAAAATATGTGGAAACTTTTGTTTGAGATGCTTTGCAGTTGTGTTCCTGAAAATAAAATTACACACCTAAACCTCCTTTTCTCCAACGTGTGGCACCAGTAGTATCTTTGAAGAGATGTTGTACCAACTGTTGCAAATAAAGAAAGTTACCTTTTGAGATCCTAAATACATTCAAGATTGCCTTACCAAATGATGCAAACCAACTGTTTACCTTATGTCCCCAGCCTTCCCATACCACTTGAAAACAAAGTTTTCAGTCAATAGAAATCTTGCATATTTTAAGGCAAAACTCATACTTTCCTCTCTATAATCTCCCTGGCCATCTTGGTTACTACAAGTCTAAAGAAAATCAATAT